AAAACACCAGACACATGAGGAAGAATCTATTAAATTATGCTACCATGTGCATGTGTACATTGTTCAGGGGCTGCAGCCAGAGGAGGCCATGTCCAATAACATTTATTGTGAGATAACTGCAGTGTTAAGCCCTCCCTTAATGCCCCTCATACATACAATTCAGCATTTAAATGAGCTGATTCTGAACTATTTGCAAGACGATTAGCTGCGCTCTTATATTTAGCAAAACAACACTCGCACCATCCAGAACAATATGTTATATCATCTCATGTCGACAGACTGTGAAGTTGCCAGGCAGGCAGCAGGAACAGAGGAGGAGTGAGGCATGCTGATATGAACAGGGCTATTTTAGTCCTCGAGGTCTTGAGTTATAGGCACTTTCTGGGTTTAGATGATGATAGCTGTGACAGCAGGGTCCTTTGTGATCACTCCCACTCTCCAAAGTGTGCCGTGGACAAACATCTGAATGTTAACTTCTCCTGAGATAAATGAAGTGACAAGAGAACAGGAAGCCACGAGGGAATCGTCATTGTTTGATTGTTTGTCTCTTTTTCTAAGTTTAAATAGTAGTGGTGTGTTTATACTTAATACCTGTTATTATACTCACATTCAGTGTTGTGGTTGTTGAGCACGAGGCGGCTCAGTAAAGTTACACACACATAAGCTTGAGTGTCAGTTCTTCACAACAGTAAGCTTCTTCAGAAAGAGTTTCAAAGTTTCAGTCTTCACCCACTGTTCAACAAACTCTTGCTTTTGTTTGCACTTTGCCCATCTGAATCATGTGATGTTGATCCATAACCCTGATTACAATCAGGATTGTATTTACCTTCAGTAGTACTTGGCTTACGTACATATAAGGTCAAACCAATGCAAATTTGAACTTATGCACCAATCAGGCTACTAAAGTCAAACTGTAGTTTACTTATTAACCTAGTTACTCAGCTCGACTTTTGGCCCTCTGTGCCATAAACTCCCCTCATGCTGATGATAAAGGTGCTTGAACACGACTGCACAGACTTAACTTTACACAGTATGTCTGAGAAAAGACCAAAATAGCCACAAAGTAACCACAACACTGCAGCAACCACTCTGAATGATCTTAAAACACAACCACTGAGTAGCCCTTGAGCAGAAGAAGTAGACAGAAAGACCTTCATCAGTGACGCTGTATTTACCCATGACAAGGGTTTCAGTACAAAGATAAAATGTAACATGAGCCTGTGTTCAATATCCCATATCATGTGATATGTTTTTTGTCTAAAAATAGTATAGAATAGAAAATAATTTATTTAGTCATTTGAGGCACATGTAGTTGTTGCAGCAGGAGGATGTTGCAGCTGTCAGTTTGTCAATAATTGCAACACATCTAATGGGGTTTACCACAGAGCAAGTTTGACATAACAAGGCTTTCTTTTCGTAGCCGGATTGACAAAACCTATAAAAACACGCAGAAATGAACCAACCGCTTGTGTCTTACTTCAGTCAAGAGGAACCGGTTACAGAGCTATGAGGGATATAAAAATGTATTCTCGTAAAAGGCGCTCGTACTGCAATTGATGCAAGAGAGGAACACTGTCAGAAAACTGTTAATAATGTAAGTTTGTATATTTATTTTACCACTGTGTGCTTCAGCCCCGTGATTCTGATGTGACAGCTGCACATTAAAGCTCTTAAACTTTAAACTTCTACTCAAGAAGTGGATTTAGGTCTGACACTGTTCCATGATGAATGGAAATCAGTTTACTTTTGGCCAATTCAAAGTAAAAAAAAAATGTGTTACTGATTTAATATTTTCTGTGATAAATCCAAATAGACTAAACAATTTTCTGATCTATGTTTTATTAGCTGCAGCACCAGCAATATGAATGGACTTTGCAGCAAATCAGCACCTAACATAAAAACCCATTTATGCGTTTTCTGCATCACCAACTGAATGTGTGTAACCTTCCATGACAGTGCAATGCAAAACGTTGTTCCCCTTTATTAAGAGGAATTACTAACATGTAGTTAAACAGGTTTGCAGATATAACATATTCCCTCAGCTGAGAATCTGTGATTCAGAGAATCAACGAAAAACAGTAAAACTAGTGAACAGGAGAGTCCTCTAAAAGACTTTAAGATTTTAATCCAAATCTCTGAACAGAACCTTCTCCAGAGCAAGTTAGCTATGAAGCATAAGTTACCATGTTGATCTAGAGAGTTAAAAGAGGGATGAACATATCTCAGTCACCCAGTAATCTGGCTTCATAGTACGTCCATCTGGTTGTTATTTAGTATCTAGTAATTTTAATATCCCTCCTTGTCTAAAAGTGTGAAATAGAAGCGATCTCTTTGATTATACATTAATTAAATTTTACCAAATTTTGGACTCCTAAAATTTGATAGTGAGACTGCCAGGTGCAGGACGCGCTGCGTTCCAGCACACACCCACAGGACGAACGCAAACCCCCACACTTTAGCTCAAAAACATAAATATTAACTACACAGCAGCACAATAATGCGCAAACAATAATGAAACCTGCCTTTAATGAGTAATGCTACACAAATAAAACCGCCTTTGTTTGCAGTATGTCAATTTTATTCCTCAGCTGACATTAGCTCTTGAGTACCAATAGTGTGTCAACAAAAGTATCAAACACTGCAAGGAAAACACAGATCTCAGTCATCAGAGTCATAGAAATGTAAACTGTATATGCAATAAGACAACAAACCCTAGCAAAAGTGAGTACTGCACTGTCAGTGAAGTCTCGTATTCACAGCAGGTGGGGGTGGATGCAGTTAAACCGCTGAAATTAACAAGCGTTTCCTCCTTATCCTCTTTTTCCTTACTAGTATTGTTTCTGACCGTCACAATAAGAAGATGCCACTGGGTGAGGACTGCCATGCCTGGAAAAAGAAGACCACAGATGTGAAGGAGAAGTATGACTTCAAAGAGATCCTGGGAACGTAAGTGTGTCATTGCTAGCGGCAAAACCTTTTGTGTCTCTGCTTTGCATGATGGCTTTTTCACACTCTGGGAAACATTGCCGCGATTTGAATAAATGATGTGCGTTTTTACATGTTTAATGATGCATTTAACGCGTATCTGTCAACTGTTGTGTCAGATGGACAGAAGAAGGAATAATTTGCATTTGTTTTGTTCCTGTACCTGCAATTTTGTATTGATAGATTTTTTATTTTTTTTTTAAATTGCCATGCACGTGTTTAGCCAATTAGATGTTGCTGCTTGTAGAGTATAGAGACCACACTTAGTAAAGAGTGCTCGGCTCTAAATGTAATGAGAATAAGCAGATAATGAGACAGCCTCACTCCTTAATTACAGACTGTTATTCTAACAAGCTCTTGCTGTATTTTGTAAACGTGCGACTGGGTTGCAGCTGGGTTGATCCTGTGGATGCCACTAGATTTAGAGATTGATGCTCAGCTGGTCTTAACAAGATGCACTTTTGTGAGCATAAAACGGCGCAAGCGAACACTAGTGTGTATGGCTGTTTGGTGTCTGTACTTTTTTGTGTCCGTGCCTGCTGGGTTTTTTAACGGCTGCAAATGAACCCTTTCATGCGATGGTTGGGAGTGATGGCACAGTTTAGTTTGTGTTGATGTAGATCAGCTATTTCCGTGAAGTTTCATTATTTGCTTTGCAAGTTTGCCTTTACCTGCTTTTTTGCCTATTTAAAGTGCACAGGTACTTAAGACTTAGCAAAAACGCAAAGCAAGCTAATGACATAAGGTTAACCTCTTTAATTTTACATACATTATTTAATGTAACTATCAATGGAAAGAGATCAAAACTGCTAAACTTTCCCACATTCATTACCTTCCTTTTATTTTTGGGTACATATCTTGTGTCATTAGTCTTTGTGAAGAACACTATTTCTGTGGAGGTTTTTATCACGTCCAGCAGGATGGTAGCTGTCAACAGGCGTTTTAATATACAATTCAAAACCGCTGCAGTAATTCCCAATAATAGAATAACCCTTCAATACTATGTGTCTTTGTGAAGCGTGAAATGTTCATTTTGTTGACTCTGTGTCATCGAAACCCTGTTTGTTTACCTCTCAGACACAGTGTCAACAAACCAGCCACAAAGCACGACACTGAGAGCCTGATGATCTGCACCTTGCGTGTAAATGAATTAGAAATGCAGTTCACAGTGAAACGCCCCACTAGATATATAGTCTTAGAAATTAACACGGCGTTGAGTCAACACCTCTGGTACAGTGTCAATGAAAACCGAACCTGATACATGTGAAAAAGGTAAGAGTGATTGTTGAGTTGCTGGATCAGATGACGGTCCTCTCTTAAGGATCTCTCAAAGGAATTAATAAACATTGTTTCATAAAGCTGCAGTGGCCCAAAGAACTCAACACACATGTTAAGGTGAACAAACTCCAAGCCAATGAAGAAGTCCTCTTCCCCTATTGTTCTGTTTCACTGTAAAAACCTGTTTAATGTACATAAAAGTCAGTGCTGCTGTTGCAAAAAAAAAAAAAAAAAATGGCCCAATGCTCAAGAAGGCAGTTAAGTCTAGTCAAGCTATGTGGGTGAAAATCTGTTTTTTTTATTGCACTTTCATCAGTAGATGAGATCAATTGCATATCAAACTATATATAGCGATCCCTGATGTTTAACTTATCAGTTCCATCGTGGATTTTAACTTCTCTGTCTGTCACTGTGTTTTTATCTCTTTGTAGCTGGTGGCTATGAAACACTGGGTAACAGGGGGAAAGTTTCCTTCTTCCTTGTTTTGTTTGTTCTGCAGTAGCTATAATGTACAGATCTGTCAGCACTTTGGAAATTAGTGCAGGTTTACAGACCCACTTCCGTACACAGCAGGGCTGTATTCAAGGCCTTTTGAAATGTTTGATTGTTTTTCTGTATGTTTTTCTATCCTTATGTTCTGAAATGATCAGAGGGCCAAGGGTTCGGCCTCGTCAGTGTTTTAAATTGGTTTTAGAATAAATAGTTACAAGTGTCTCAGTCAACCACAGACAGAGCTTGCCAACACTCAATGTTATCAGTATTTTCTGAGAACAGCGTAGCATTGTGGGTATTGTGTCCCGACTTCTGATGGCTGGAACTTTGTGTTGTGTGTCCTTATTTGCTGTTCTTCTTTTTTTGGTGCCTTGTCTGAATCTGTCTTAGAGCTCTTAATTTTTTTTTGTCGTGTATATGTGTGTAATCTGTTTGTCCTAAAATGGTCATGCTTGGTTTCTGGAGTGCCAACACTGTAAAAATAATCCAGTAAAATAGACGGTGAAAATCAGGCAGCAAGGATGACAGAAAAAAATCTGTAAAGAAACAGTGGGATACAGTAATGATGGAAATAAAATAAAAGTAAGAACAGTGGAAATAACAGCAAATATCTGTAAAATCTTTTTTTTTCTTTTTTTGATCAGATTTAAATACAGTGAAATAGTGTCAAAAAAGTCTTTTTGTCAACTGTAAATGTTTTGGGATTTGCATGTGTTTTGGTAATTGCTAAAAGAATAGATTGCCATTTAAAAAAGTACAGTGGCTGAAAGTGGAGACAGTTAGAAAATATTTACCATTTTCAATCCTTAATGTACATTTTTTTCTTGAAAAAAGAAAATACATATAAATAAGAAAAGATTTGGTATATATTGTATGTTTTTGTATATTTTTTGTATAATTTTACAGTCAAACATTGTAAATTAACAAATTACCATTTATAAAAATACAGATTTTTTTATGTGGACATTGTTTACAGTTTTGGTATGTTTTTATATACAGTCCATATGTATATTTATGCCTTTTTGTGATTTTACTAGTAATGATATGTAATTTAACAAAACAGGGAAAATATGTAAAGTAACAATCAATTATTTAAAAAAAAAAAATTGAATTAAAGCCACACCACAGTACTTGTAACTTTATAATTTGAGGAACCTTAACTCATTCCTGGTGTCATAAGCCCTGCTTTTAACACTCAGTATTTTAGATATGCAAGGAACTTTACAGTGCACGTCTCTAAATCCAACTGTACTTTGTCAAAATTACATTACAGCATATTCCATCACCATGACAGAACCATTTCCCTCCTCCTGAGACTCGGTCCTCTAAATGGTCCTGCTGCTCCATCTCACTGTGAAATGTTTGCCCAACTTTCAATTAGCCAAATTGGCAGAATCAATTTGGACCCCAGTTTGTTGTCAAAGAACAAATTGCTCTGAGAGTGCCCAGCAGTAACTTTTAATCCCCTGAGTAACTCTTTGCCTTGCGATCCTTGATAATTATGGATGCTGAGTGTCATGAGGCAGGATGTTTATCCAAGGTGTCCATTTGAAGCACCTCTTACATACGCCTCACATCCTTGTTAGTCCAGGATTAAGTTGTGTGAACACTGACTAAATCCAAGATGAAGCCTAGGCCTGTTTTGTTAGTTTATGAAACCTCTCCTTGCTTCATTCATCTTGTCGGTGCACAGAGGGTTTAAAAATATTCTCAATCGCTAATACAAAGGACTTTAAGTAACTTAATTGCAGTCACAAATATCGCTGTTAGTCGGTCATGGCCTCTTACAATCTTCCTTGTGTGTATTTCTGCTGTAATGTAATAAAGCAAAAAGCCAAATAAAAAGCTCCAAGTGACCAGACTGAACAAGCATTGAATAAAAATTCTTATTTTTTAAGATTTAAAGAGAACAACTAAAAAGTTCAATGTAGCAATAAACACAGTCATACAGAAAGACTAATAATGGTCTTTAGTTCCAAGAACATTGTTGTGAATTGTAGACTGGCTGATATTTCAACATTTTTTGTAACCTCAGGTGGCTTTTGTTGTTTTTTCTGACTTGGCTGCTTCCAACTTAATATGTGATTCCTTCAATGTCCTTTGTGCCCCTCTTACGCAGACAAAAGTTCCTAACTGAGCCCCACTGATGGATGCGTACATGAAAATGCTTTCCCATCCTTTGAACCCTCTCATTGTCATCCCTCCAGTTCTCCACCTGCCCCTGGTTCAGGGCTAAGCTTGTTTATGGAGAGATCACCAGCTCACCGCATCACTCAGCTGTGTGCCACATTCGTTTGCCATTGCTGGATTGTTGTCTTGGTAACAACAGGAGACACTTTCCATAATGGACTCAAACAGTCACTATGGAAACAAAGTTTTTGATTTGCTATTAATAATCCACCACCGGGTGCATATGTGTGCATTGTGCAAGAGATAAACTCGGCCATTCTTTTACAGGAAAGCAGAATAATCCACACACACATTTCTCTATAAATGTGCTTGTATTTTTGGAGCCTCCTTCGGAGGCATTTTGACCACAATGGAGATGTCTGTGGTGCATCACCTCCTCACTAAAGCAAAATTACATCATGTCTCAAGAACTAAAGCCCGTCAATGTAGCTGTCCTGAATTAACACAAAAAATTCAAGAAATTAAATCCGAAATAATGCGCTGCATACTGTGCAATTAGGTTGAAATATGCAGCAATGTTGCACGAGCTGTTTAGATTGTGATTCCAATCATCAGTTGTTTATCCCTGCAAACAAAGCATCAAACTGATTATGCATTTGGATGTAATAAAGCTTTTTCAATGCAAGTTGTTCATCACAAACAAATAGTTCTCACATTTGCTTATTTCCTTCACATATCTTTGGTCAAAGTCAGTGACATGCACACTTCAAACCACATACCAGTGTCATGTATTGGTTTGTACTCCTAATCCCCAGCTGCGGCCACATGCTTTGGTAATCAAAACAGATGGGGATTAATAATGCACAAACAGGCAATGGCGCTTTCACTGCAATCAACTCAAATCCTCGCTCGCCTTCCTTCCTTTTTTTTTCATTTCTGATACTTATGTTAATCTGTTCTCTCTCTCCCGCTCTCTGTCTTTCTCTATCTGTCTTTCTGTTTGTGTCCAACGCGGCTCAGAACCACATCCCTGCTGTCAGAAATCCAGCTTCATCTTGGCC